GTAAAGGGCTGGGAAAAGATCTTCCAATCAAACGGCCCCAAGAAACAAGCGGGCGTAGCAATCCTAATATCTAACAAATTAGGCTTCAAATTAAAATCAATCAAAAGAGATGAAGAAGGGCACTTCATATTCATCAAAGGAAAAATACATCAAGACGAAGTCTCGATTTTAAATATCTACGCCCCAAATACAAAGGCACCTACATTCGTGAAAGAAACATTACTAAAGCTCAAAATGCACATAAAATCTCACACACTAATAGTAGGAGACTTCAACACTCCGCTCTCACCGCTAGATAGGACTTCCAGACAGAAACTTAACAAAGAAACAAAAGAATTAATAGAAGTTATGACCCAACTGGGTTTAACAGACATCTATAGAACATTCCACCCAAATACAAAGGGATATACCTTCTTCTCGGCACCACATGGAACCTTCTCTAAAATTGACCACATAATAGGAAACATTGCAAATCTCCACAGATACAAAAAAATTGGAATAACCCCCTGCATCTTATCAGACCACCATGCATTAACATTAGAATTCAACAATAACACAAATCGCAGAAACCCTACAAACTCATGGAGATTGAACAATGCACAATTGCACCATCCCTGGGTAAAGGAACAAATAAAAAAAGAAATGAAAGACTTCCTCGATTTCAATGAGAATGAAGACACAACATACACAAACTTATGGGACACTTTGAAAGCAGTGCTGAGAGGAAAGTTTATAGCACTAAGTGCCCACATGAAAAAACTGGAGAACAGTCATACTAGAGAAATAATAGCACAGCTGAATGTTCTAGAACAAAAAGAAGCAAACTCCCCAGGAGGAGCAGACGCCAGGAAATAATCAAATTGAGGGCTGAAATCAATCAAGTAGAAACCAGGAAAACATTGAGAAGAATCAATGAAACAAAGAGTTGGTTCTTTGAGAAAATCAACAAAATAGACAAACCTCTGTCCAAACTAACCAAAAGACAGAGAGAGAACATGCTAATTAACAAAATCAGGGATGAGAAAGGGGACATAACAACGGACTCTGAGGAAATCAAGAGAATCATCAGGGCATACTTTGAAAATCTGTACTCCACAAAATTTGAAAATTTAAAGGAAATGGACAATTTCCTGGATAGATATCACTTGCCAAAACTAAATCAAGAACAGATAAATAATCTAAACAGACCTATAACCCCTAATGAAATAGAAGCAGTCATCAAAAGTCTCCCAAACAAAAAAAGCCCAGGCCCAGATGGCTTCAGTCCAGAATTCTACCAGAAATTCAAAGAAGAGCTCATTCCAATACTCGTCAAAGTATTCCACACTATAGAAGCAGGAGGCTCACTGCCAAACTCTTTCTACGAGGCTACAATTACCTTGATACCCAAGCCACACAAAGACACAACTAAGAAAGAGAACTATAGACCAATTTCCCTCATGAACATTGATGCAAAAATACTCAATAAAATACTTGCAAACCGGATCCAGGAACATATCAGAAAAATCATCCACCATGATCAAGTAGGCTTCATTCCAGGAATGCAGGGATGGTTCAACATTAGAAAATCTATCAATGTAATCCACCATATTAACAATCTGCGAAAGAAAAACCACATGATCATCTCACTAGATGCTGAAAAAGCCTTTGACAAAATCCAGCACCCCTTCATGATAAAGGTCCTAGAGAGATCAGGGATAACAGGAACGTACCTGAATATAATAAAAGCAATATACAGTAAACCAACAGCTAACATCAAACTAAATGGAGAGAAACTCAAAGCAATTCCTCTAAAATCAGGAACAAGACAAGGCTGTCCACTCTCTCCATATCTCTTCAATATTGTACTTGAAGTTCTAGCTACAGCAATAAGACAACAAAAGGAGATAAAGGGGATACAAATAGGAAAAGAAGAAGTCAAACTTTCATTATTTGCAGATGATATGATAGTTTACATAAGTGACCCAAAAAACTCCGCAAGGTTACTCCTAGAGCTGATAAACACCTTCAGCAATGTGGCAGGATACAAGGTAAACTCAAAAAAATCAGTGGCCCTATTATATACACATGATGAAGTGACTGAGAAAGAAATCAGAGAAACATCACCTTTTACAATAGCCAAAAACAGCATCAAATATCTGGGGATACTGTTAACCAAGGAAGTGAAAGACCTGTATATCAAGAACTTTGTGTCTTTGAAGAAAGAAATCAAAGAAGATACCAGAAAATGGAAAGATCTCCCATGCTCTTGGATTGGTAGGATCAACATAATAAAAATGGCAATCTTGCCAAAAGCAGTCTATAGATTCAATGCAATCCCTATCAAAATTCCATCACAATTCTTCAAGGACCTGGAAAGAACATTAATCAACTTTATATGGAAAAACAAAAGGCCCAGGATAGCCAAAACATCCCTATACAATAAAGGAACTTCAGGAGGCATCACCATACCTGACTTCAAGCTCTATTATAGAGCTATAGTCCTGAAAACAGCTTGGTATTGGCACAAAAATAGGCAGGTAGACCAATGGAACCGAATCGAAAGCCCTAATTTTAACCCACACACCTATGAACACCTGATTTTTGACAAAGAAGCTAAAACTGTACAGTGGAAAAAAGAAAGCATCTTCAACAAATGGTGCTGGCATAACTGGGTAGTGGTATGCAGAAGACTGCAGATAGATCCATGTTTATCGCCTTGTACAAAACTTAAGTCCAAATGGATCAAAGATCTCAACATACATCCAGCCACACTGAAACTTTTAGAAGAGAAAGTGGGAGATACTCTTCAACGAGTTGGTACAGGAGACCACTTCCTAAACATAACACCAGTGGCACAGGCACTGAGATCAACAATTAACAAATGGGACCTTCTGAAACTAAAAAGCTTCTGTAAGGCAAAGGACACAATCAAAAAGACAAAAAGGCAGGCCACAGAATGGGAAAAGATATTCACTAACCCTACATCTGACAGAGGGCTAATCTCCAAAATTTACAAAGAACTCAAGAAACAAGTCTCCAAAACACCAAAGGATCCACTTGAAAGGTGGGGTACAGAGCTAAATAGAGAATTCTCAGTAGAGGAGGCTAAAATGGCCAAGAGACACTTAAGAAAGTGCTCAACATCCTTAGCCATCAGGGAAATGCAAATCAAAACAACTCTGAGATACCATCTTACTCCTGTCAGAATGGCTAGAATCAAAAACACCGAACACAATTTATGCTGGAGGGGATGTGGAGAGAGAGGAACACTCCTCCACTGCTGGTGGGAATGCCAACTCATACAGCCTCTTTGGAAATCAGTATGGAGATTCCTCAGGAAAATGGGAATTAATCTACCACTAGACCCAGCAATTCCACTCTTAGGCATTTATCCAAATGAGGCAGGTTCATACAACAAGGGCATCTGCTCCACTATGTTCATAGCAGCATTGTTTGTAATAGCCAGAACCTGGAAGCAACCTAGATGCCCCTCAACTGAAGAGTGGATAGAGAAAATGTGGTACATTTACACAATGGAGTATTACTCAGCAGAAAAAAACAATGGAATCTTGAAATTCGCAGGGAAATGGATAGCACTGGAAGAAACCATCCTGAGTGAGGTAACCCAGTCGCAAAAAGACAAACATGGTATGTACTCACTCATATATGGATTTTAGATATGGATCAGGATAGTGCCAGTCTGCACTTCCACAGATAGAGAGTCTGGGAAACAGGAAAGAACCTAAAAGATATGCATATATGCATAGTACCCAAGAGAAGAGGATGGAGACAAGATCCTCTGAATGGATGGGGAACAGGGCGAGGGGGGTAGTGGGACCTGGGAAGAATAGAGGGGGTAAAGAGGAAGGGAGTTGGTCATGGGGGAACAGGAAGTTGAGGGGGTGGGGGTAGAATAGGGGGAAAAGGGAATCATAGGATCGAAGACAGATCAGGCACCAGAGTGACCTCGAGTGATCTAAAGGTATAACATCAATTGGCAAGCTAAGCAATAGTGGAAGGACCACCTCGAATGCCCATTCCTGATAATGAACTTGATGTCTATAACTATCCGGGAGCCTTCATCCTGGGACTGATGGAAGCAGAGGCAAACACACAACTAAGCACTGAACTGAACCCAAGGAACCCAGTGACAGTGAGAGAGGAATGATGAGCAAATTGGCAAAGAATGGGCTGGCAAAACCAGCAGAGACAGCTGATCTGAACAGGGGAGTGCTCTTGGACCCCAGACCGACAGTGGGGAGGCCAGAATGGGACTGATCTGGGCCCCCCAAATGTGAGTGTCAGTGAGAAGGCCTGGACAACCTATGGGGCTCTGAGCTGTGGATCAGTGTCTATTCCTGGTATACAATCTGTCTTCATGTGCCTATAGCACAAAGAGAGATGCTCTCTCAGCCTGGACTCTTAGGGGAGTGCCTTGACCCTACCAAGAGTAAAATGATAGACTCTAGACATCCCCTATGTGGAAGGATTTGGCAATAGGGTGGGAGGGAGGGTGGAAGGGGAGTGCGGGAGGAGGGGAGGGAGAGGGAACTGGGATTGACATGTAAAACAAGCTATTTAAAATTTTAAAAAATCAATTAAAAAAAACCATTCTGGGCCCACAGCTTACAGATCCCTAAAAACAAACATGGCAAGCAGGCTAAAGTAGCGACTCGGTGGCTAGGAGTGTGCCCTTCTCTTTCATAGGACCTAAGTTCAATTCCCAGCACCCCTGTGGGATGCTTATATCCAGTTGTCACTCCAGCTCCAGGGAAAGAGTGGCATGCAACCCCTCTAGCCTCCACAGGAACCCACAAATCCACACACATGATTAGTAATGAATGTCTTTTAAGGTTACACATCCTGAGAATTTAAATATCAAAGTCAGATCATATGTGGGTGAATGCTTAACTTCATGTGTTGTGGATTTTTTTCTCTTCTACTCACTGACACAGGACAGTCAAAGACATATCAATCAAGCTCATCTGAAGAACAAGTTGAGGAAGGATTGACCCAGAATGTTGCAAATCCCAATTCAGCATTTCCTGAAGCCAGAAGTCACCAAGGACGAAGTCAGTTATTTGCAGCAGCTTTTCATATCAGAGACAACTGAGAAGAGGCCACACACAGTGCTCCTGAAAGGAGTGTCAGGAGTTGGCAAGACACTGGTGTTGTTCCAGTTAATGCTGGCCTGGTCAGAAGGCCTGTTGTTTCAGGACGAATTCTCCTACATCTTCTACCCCTGCTGTGAGGAAATAAAGCAGTTGAAGACAACAAGCCTGGCCTACCTGATGTTCAGAGAGTGGTCCAGCCCCTCAGCTTCCATAGTTGAGATAGTATCCCAACTTGCCAAGCTCTTGTTCATCATTGACAGCTTGGAAGTGCTAAATTGTGATTTAACCGAACTGGAATTGAAGCTGTGTGATAATTGGATGGAGAAGCATCCAGTGAACATACTGCTGAGCAGTTTGCTTAGGAGGAAGATGCTCCCAGAATCCTCTCTCCTCATCACTGGTCCCCCAGAGAGTTTTGATCAGTTGGAGGACAGGATAGACTACACAGATATGAAAACTGTGATGGGTTTTATGAAAACACTATGAGGATATGTTTCCAGGAATTGTTCCAGGATGAGAGCACAGCCTAAAAAGTCTTCAGGTTGGTGAGAGAAAACGAACAGTTATTTCATATGTGTCACATCCCTACTCTATGCTGGGTGGTGGCCACTTGTCTAAAAATTGAGAAAGAAGAGGCACGAGACCGAGCCTCTGTCTGTCGATGTACCACCTCTGTGTACACTGCTTACTTCTTGAATTTGTTCATTCCCAAAAGTGCCCATTGACCAAGTGAAAAAGGGCAAGACCTGCTGTGAGGCCTGTGTTCCCTGGCTGCTGAGGGCATGTGGACTTACAAATTTGTATTAAATCAGGAGGATCTTGGGAGAAAGGGGATTGTCAGTTCAGACATCTCCACACTCCTGAACACGAGTGTACTTCTGAAGAGCAAGGACTCCAAAAATTTCTACAAATTCCAACACCCATCCATTCAGGAGTTCTGTGCCGCTGTATTTTATCTGGTGAGGAGCCACAGGGACCACCCTAGTAAAGATGTTAAAGGTATAGAGGCACTCCTGTTTACGTTTCTCAGGAAAGTCAGGGTGCGCTGGATTTACTTGGGCTGTTTTATCTTTGGCCTTCTACACAAATCAGAACAAAAAAAGCTACAGGCATTTTTTGGCTACCTGTTTTCCCAGGAGCCTGGAAGAGACCAGTATTGTCAAAGACGTTTGGGAACAAGTCGATGACATGAAGTTGTCTTATTGTCTGTTTGAGATGGAGAATGAAGCTTTTGTCATGCAGGTGATGAACTTCTGGCAGCGGATCAAGTTTGTGGGTAAGGACAATTCAGATCTGATGGTGGCTACCTACTCCTTGAGGAACTGTTTTTCACTGCAGACTCTATCCTTTTCAACCCAAGACATCCTGCAGGAAGGACAAGAGCACAGCTCTCTGTGAATCCAATCACTGTCTTTCTCCTCAGTCTCCTTGTCTGAATCTGCCCCGGGTAGTTTGACTTCTATAGAACCCTGATTCAATACTCACCCTGACTGGTTGTATAATGTAGAGTGGGTGGCATACACAGTGGGTTCCAGGTCAGTCATAGCTAAAGAGGGAGATCCTCTCTCCAAAAAAAATCCAACACCAATAAAAATAAATGTGTATAATTTGTGAATTCTTGGCTCTTTTTGTCCATCCTGGAGTTAGAATCCATGGCCTCATGTGTACCAGGCTAGCACTTTGTCCAGAACTGAAGGCCCCTGCTCATTTTTTGAGATATGGTCTAGCCTTATATCCACTGTGTAATCAAAGCTGGAGTAAACCTTTTGATTCTTGCGCAGGAGACAATACAAAAACACACTCAGCAACAGAAAAACAAATATGACTCTACCATATTCTAGAGACTCCATGCCAGGAAGACTCCAACACTCCAATGCAAATGAAGCAGAAGGGAATGACCTTAAATACAACTTCATGAAAATGATAGAGGCCCTAAAAGAGGATATAGGACAATACCTCAAAGAAATGTAAGAAAAAACAACCCAAAAATGCAAGAAATGGAAGAAAAAACAAGCCAAAAAATGCAAGAAATGGAAGAAAAAACAAACCAAAAATGCAAGATATGGAAGAAAAAACAAACCAAAAAATTCATAAAATGCAACATATGGATGAAAAGATAAACCAAAAATTGCAAGAAATAATTCAAACAGTGCAAGGGTTGAAAACTGAAATAGAGACAATAAAAAAGACAATCTGAAGGAAGGCTGGAAATAGAAAAGCTGGTCAAATGGCCAGGTACTACAGCTACAAACATTGCCAACAGAATATGAAAAAATGGAAGAGAGAATCTCAGATGTTGAAGATACACTAGGAGAAATAGATTCATCGACCAAAGAAAATCTTAAGTCCAACAAATCCCTAACATAAAGCATCCAAGAAATATGGGACACCATGAAAAGACCAAACCTAAGAAAAGTAGGTGTAGAAGAAGGTGAAGAAAAGCAGCTCTAAGAGGCAAAAATCATATTCAACAAAAATCATAGAAGAAAACTTTCCCAACCTGAAGAAATGCATGCCAATGAAGGTACAAGAAGCTTACAGAACACCAAATAGGGTGGACCACAAAAAAGTTCCCTCAACACATAATAATCAAGACCCCAAATATACAGAATAAAGAAAGAACATTAAGAGCAGCTAAGGAAAAAGGCCAAGTAACATATAAAGGCAAACCTATCAGAATTACACCTGACTTCTCCATGGAAACTCTGAAATTCAGAAGTTCCTAGATAGATATTCTACAAACGCTAAGAGACCATGGATCCCCAGACTACTATACCCGGCAAAGCTCTCAGTCACTATAGATAGAGAAAACAAGTTATTCCATGGCAAAACTAGCTTCAAGCAATACATATCCACTAACCCATCCCTACAGAAATTCTGGAACAAAAACTCCAACCCAAGGAAGTTAACTACAACCAGAAAAACACAGGCATTAGATAATCCCACTTTACCAACAGCCAAGAGGAAAAGGGGGTGGAATTCCACACATAATTCCACCAACAACAACCATTCCAAATCAAAGAAGAATAAGCAATCAATGGTCATTAATATTGCTCAATATTAATGGCCTTAACTCACCCATAAAAAGACACAGGCTAACCCAATGGATTCGAAGACAGAATCCATCCTTCTGCTGCATACAAGAAACACACCTCAACCTCAATGAGAGACATTACCTCAGAGTTAAAGGTTGGGAAAAGATTTTCCAATCAAATGGACCCAAGAGACATAGTAACTTTTAACATGTAGTTCTAAGAATGGACTTCAAAAAATGAAGCCACATCTGTCCTATGAAACATCTGGATTGGGTGAGGGGCAAAAAAATATTATCTCACTGGAATGTTAGGGGTATGTTAATTTTTGTATACAAGAGGGCAAAAGAAAACAATTTAGGGGTTGTTTGGGCTCAGAATACACCCATTTTATTTACAAGCTTTCCTGCTACAGGTTACACAGTGCTTAGGATGATCAAGTAGGGATTTTTCTCCTCCTCGGCAATCAGAAGCTCCTGGGTTTCCTTATCAAAGTCAGTAATTCAAGCCTAGAAAGACATACAAAATTGAAGCTCTCATTAATTCACTCTTGTAGGCTTTGAAAGTTTTCTTATTTATGTGTGTGCCTGCATGAGTGTATGGGCAGCACGCGTGTGATGCCACCTGCAGAGGTCAGATGAGGTCTTGGGACCCTCTAGGGTTACAGCAATTGTGAGCTGCCATGTTGGGGGCTGGAAACTGAAGCAGAGTCCTCTGTAAGAGCATCAAATGCTCTCAACTGAAGAGCCAGTTCTCCAGCCCCTCACAATCCTCATTGAGCTTTCCAGCATCTCCTTTTCACTCCATAATTCTCTTTCCCAAGAACAAGTTCAGGAGACCCTGATGACATGTCTCTCTAAATCTGGAGACATACACATGCCATCTGGACTCTTCTATAAAAACTGATTGGGAAATGGAGAGATGGCTCAGTGGTTAAGAGCACTGGCTGCTCTTGCAGAGGACCTGGGCCCAGTTCCACACTTGATGGCTGACAGCCACCTGTGTCTCCATTTCCAGGGGATCTGGCACCATCTTCTGGCCTCCAAGGCTACTGCATGCATGGGGTTCACAGAGATACATAAAGACAAAACATCATACATATGAAAATAAAAATATGAAGGAAAATTTTTATTTATTTATTTTATTTTTATTTTAAATAGTTTGTTTTACATGTCAACCCCAATTCCCTCTCCCTCCCCTCCTCCCACATCCCCCCATCATCTCCCCCAACCTCCCACCCTTTGGCCAATTCCTTCTGCATAGGGGATATCTGGAGTCTATCATTTCACTCAGGGTAGGGTCCAGGCACTTCCCTAAGAGTCCAGGCAGAGAGAGCAACCCTCTTTGTGTTATGGACACATGATGTCTGTTAGTATTCAAGGGATATACACTGATCCACTGCTCAGGACCCCATAGGTAGCCCAGGCCTCCTCATTGACTCTCACATTCAGGGGGTCTGGATCGGTCCAATGCTGGCCTCCCAGCTGTCTGTCTGGGGTCTAAGAGCTCTCCCCTGTTCGGATCAGCTGTCTATGCTGGTTTTGCCAGCCCATTCTTTGCCAATTTGCCCTTCGCTTCTCTCTCTCTGTCGCAGGGTTCCTTGGGTTCTGTTCAGTATTTAACTATGGGTGTTTGCCTCTGCTTCCATCAGTCACTGGATGAAGGCTCCAGGATGGTTGTAGACATCAAGTTGATTATCAGGAATGGGCAATCGAGGTGGTCTCTACACTATTGCTTAGCTTGCCAATTGGTGTCATCCCTTTAGATCACTGGAGGTCACAATGGTGCCTGATCTGTCTTCTAACCTATGATTCCCTCTTCCCCCTATCCTACCCCCCCAGTCAACCTTCCTGTTCCTCCACGTCCTACTCTCTCTTCCACTTCTCCCCCTCTCTATTTCCCAGGTCCCCTTCCCCCCACCCCAATCTGTTCAGAGGATCTTGCCTCATTTCTCTTCTCTTGGGTACCATGCATATATTTCCTGTTTCCCAGACTCTCTGTCAGTGGAAGTGCAGACTGGCACTATCTTGATCCATGTCTAAAATCCATATATGAGTGAGTGCATACCAAGTGTGTCTTTCTGTGACTGGGTTACCTCACTCCACTGCTGGTGGGAGTGCCAACTCATACAGCCACTTTGGAAAGCAGTATGGAGATGCCTCAGGAAAATGGGAATAAATCTACCACAAGACCCAGCAATTCCAGTCTTAGGCATATATCCAAATGACGCAAAATCATACAACAAGGGCATCTGCTCCACTATGTTCATAGCAGCATTATTTGTAATAGCCAGAACGTGGAAGCAACCTAAATGCCCCTCAACAGAAGAGTGGATAGAGAAAATGTGGTACATTTACACAATGAAGTATTACTCAGCAGGAAAAAACAATGGAATCTTGAAATTCACAGGTAAATGGATAGCACTGGAAGAAGGAAAATTTTTAATTGATTTGTTGCTTGTGTTTTTGTTTGCACAATACACCTGCCAGTGGCAATGTCATGTGTCACCAACTGTTCCCCTGCATATCTTTTTGGAGACAGGGTCTCTCACTAACCTTCCATTCATGACCTGGCTGGCAGTGAGATTCAGAGAGCCCTCTGCCTCCACCTTTCTCCCTAGCACTAAGGTTACAGCTACATGAGACCACAGTCAGCTTTTCAATGTGTGTGCAAAAGATTCAAACTCAGGTACTCATACTTCTGCTGCAAGCACTTTACTCGACTGAGCTGCCCTTCAAAGCTCTCACTGTGGCCATTTCTGTGGTACGAACTCAACAACCCAAATGTAGTCTATTACAATATTATGTCAACACCCAGGATAGTGGTGGGAAATGCTGATTCCATCTGAGCCTTTGGGCTTGGATTGCTGACTTGTAAAATTTTTTAAGGTTTTTATTTCATTCATGCCCCAAAAGAGCAATTCATTCCATATCCTGAGTGTCTGGTCTTAGCCCTTTGGTTAACCGTGTCTCATGCATGTGCATCCTCACACACGATCATTCACACAGACAACGCACACACACACACAAACCCTGATTGTGTTCTCTGTGTTGCTTCTGTATTAACTACTTTTCAATTACTGTAATAAAACACTGTGACCAAAGCAATTTACAACAGGAGAGTCTGTTTGGGCTTACAGTTCCAGAGGGTTAAGTCTCCATTACCATTGCAGCAGGGAGAGGGGTAGCAGGAGCAAGGAGCCAAGTGCACATCCTGAACCAGGAGCACAAAGCAGAAACACACTGGGAATGGTACTAAGCTTTGCAAGCATAGGGCCTGCCCCAGTGACACATGTCCTCAGGCAAGGCCACACCTTCTAAATCTTCCCAAACAGCACCACCAACTGGGATCAGGCATCCAAACATC